AAAATTCGTTATAGAGAAAATTCGTTATAAAAAGAGTCATTTTATATATAAATTTTTCTGACTTTAATTTGTTAAACGTAGTACGAATTTTTAATTACTAAATTCGGTATAGTAAAAGTTTTTTTATATTTAAAAATCTGTCTGACACTGAAAATCCGTTGTATTGTAAAATTCATTATATCAAAATTTATTATAGAAAGAGTTGACTGTAGGTTCAACTTTAATATTAGATTTAGGTATATAAGATTAAATGGTTATTTTTTCTTTATCTTTTTCTTTACTTGAATTTAAAAATAATTATAAATCAAGATTTTTAAAATGTGCTTTAATATATTAAATTTTTTATATAATTTCTTTATTAGTTTGCATTTTATTTTCAAATTTAATTTTAGTTTTAAGTTTAAATTTAATTTTATTTATTCTTAAAATTTTATTATTTATTTAAAAAAATAATAATAGATATTATATAGGATTGTAAGCATCATTTAATTTATGTTTTGTTTTGGTTTATTTTTTTTAGTTTAAATAATAATATCTTGATAATTCAGTTGAATTTTATAAATATGAAAAGAGCTATTACTATTGGTTTATTATATTATTTTATATCTTTGCTATATATTATAAATAACTATATTATATAAAAATTATTAGATTCTATTTTGTCTTTATTTTTAAGATTACAAATCATTTAACAAATAGATTAATCATATTTAATTTGTTTTATAATATCTTAAGTATTTAGCATTTAAATTTGAAAATATTTTTTATCTTTATTAAAGTTAATTATTCAAATTTGAATCAAATAAATAAATTTAAGCAAATGTTAGTTTTTTGTTATTATTTTAGTATTATATTACCAACTTAATGATATAAAGCCTAAATATATAAACTTATTTTTTTTTAACATTTGTAAGCTTCTTATTAAAGTTTATATATAAAGATACAAATGTAAGAATCTGATTATATACTCTGATTTGAGTTATAAAATATTTATCTAATTTTGATATAAGCAAATTATATAAAGTTTGTAAAATTGAAAATAGAGATTTCAAAATAATTTATTTATTTAAATAATAGCATCCTTTTATTTTTTTTTTCAATTTAAGTATAATGATATTTACAGATTTTTTAAAATATATATCTATTATTTTCAACTCTACCATTTTTATAATTATCTATATTTACTAGTTAAAATCATTTCTTTTAGTAATAATACTTTTCAATAAACATTCAATTAATTTGATTATGTGATTTAGCAAAAAATTCAGCTTGAATTTTGTATATAAAAAGTAAATAGAAAATAAAATTCATATTTGAATACTAGTATTCAAAATGATAAAATTCATTATATATTGATAAAATTATCTTTAAATTGATAAATATTGTTTTCGAATTGACAAAATTTATCTTTGAATAGATAAATATTGTTAATTTGTTAATTTTTTAATGAAAATTTGTTAATGATTTGATGAAAGTATATCAATTGGTAATAATTAACAAAATATATCAAATTATTAATGAAATTTATTAACAATTTAATGAAAATGTGTTAATTATTAATGAAAATTTATTAATTAATTAACAAAAATATGTAAGAGATTAATAAAAATATGTCAATTATTAACGAAAATTCATTAATAATTTGACAAAAATTTGCCAATAATTAATGAAAATTTGTTAACAATTTAATGTATAATCATTAATAAAATTAACAATTGACAATTTTGTTAATTTTATGAATTTTATTAAGAATTATTAATGAAACTTGTTATCAATCAGAAATTCTAATTAAATAATATTCAATTAAGTATTAAACTGATTAATAACTAATTGTTAATTGAATCTAATTAGTTACTATTGAACATATAGTTTACAATTTATTAAAATAAGTATAAAATTGGGTTAATGTAATTTTACCTAATATTTATCAATTAGGTATTAGCTATTTTATATCTGATTGTAGTATTTACTGATTTTATCTATTGATTGCTAATCAAAAAAGTAATCAATCAGAAAGGTACCTGATTGATTAGCGTTTAACTTGTAATATATACTATATATTGCAGACTATAATATCTCAAATTTTAGATGATTGATCTTGTATTATCAAGTATATACCTTAAATTCTTTATTATAAATAGAATGTGTTAAAGACTTGTATAAATATTAAAAAAATATTTAATGAGCAATTTTTGATTAAAATTAGATTTCTAAATAATAAGAACAATAAAAAATGTAACTTTTTCAGGAAGATAAAATATATAATGGGATACTATAGCTTGTGATATATAGTAATAAATTATTTTTATATTAATTATAAATTAAGCTCTAAATAGATGGATTAGAGGTCAATCTGATCTGATCTGAAACCTTAAATAATCTGATCTGAACTGAAACTTTTTAGATTAATCTAAAATTTAGGTTTAAATCTAATACAGATGCAACTTTATTAGCAATTTTTCTAATAAAAGTTACTTTTACAGTTCAGTTATTATTATATAAGAAAAATTTATATTTAAATTGGCAAATATGACTTTTATTAGTATTTTTTTCTAATAAAAATTACTCTCAAACTGTTAGATGCAAATTTATCTTAATATAAGTCATACATGAAATGTTAAAGATGACTCAATTAGTAATTTTTTAATAAAAGATGCCTTTAACAGTTTAGATGTAACTTTTATTATTATTTTATATAATAAAAGTTACACCTAAACTGTCAGTGATAACTTTATTAGTAATTTTTCAATAATGACACCCCTGATAGTTGTGATATTTATTATTATTTTATATAATAAAAGTTACATCTGAACTGTCGGAGATGACTTTATTAGTATTTTTTCAATAATGGCGCACTTGACAGTCGTGACATTTATTATTATTTTATGTAATAAAAGCTGAATATGACAGTTTGAATGAGACTTTTATTGGTATTTTATTTCTAATAAAAAATGCTCCAAAATTTGGAGACATTTATTATTAAACTGAAACTACAGATCAATTTGAAATTTTGGTTCAATTCGGATTTTTTTTGGTTTGAAATGAATTATAATCCAGTACAGGTTTTTTTATTTATATTTTATCTTATAATAAAGGATTTTTATACTTTCATAATTACTTTTTTATAAATGCATACCCTATATAAATGCATAATTTTGTTCAGACCCAAGAGGGATATGTGGTTAATTTGGAAAAAACACTTGTAGATCAAAAAAAAAAATAAACTCCATTGCTAATCCTAACAATACATTCGATCCTATGAACTACGTTAGAAAAAATAATTGTTTTGCACTGTCACCTGAGAGAAAACGGGATAAATGTTATGTTATCCAAATTAGTAGTACTTAATGAAGTAATAATATGTAATTATCACATATTTACTGCATCATTCGGATCAACTTTCCACATTTATATAAAAAGGCATTGTTTACGATGATTTAGAAAAATAATATAAAAACATGTCTAACACACAAGACGTTGGTCGAAATCACCCGGTATCTAATTTGGAGCAAAGTTTAATTTTTTTTTTTAAAATAATAATAATAATAATAATCCAAATGCAATAGGCCGCTCAATGGATATCAGCTGGTTTAGGCAGAATTCCTTCAAATGCATTCTTAGTTTACGGAAAAGCAATCGGTCGTGGTTTTGATAATTGTGGTGGTATACAACCTGGATATATTAGTAAATCAAAGAAAGCCTTAGTAGTCGAATATGGTGGTGAGGAATTGCTAATCCCAAATTATGAAGTATTGGTTTCGGCTCAAAATTATGTTGCTTTAACCGAAAGTGAGACTTTATTCAAGTGGATTCCCATGTAAGTTTAGAACTTGTATTAAAAATATTAATTCATAATCGATTCTTTATATGAACGATTGATTTCTAGTTATGCTTTATTTGTTTCTTAAAAGGTCCGGAGTTCCAGATCGTACTAAAATTAATTGTACTCCTTTAAGAGTCGGCAATGAACTTGTAATTATATTATGTATATATTCATTCATTTATTATATGAATTATATTAATTATAACTTATATAAGATTAAGGGAAATTGCAATGAATTGTATATTGCTAGAGTTTGGGATGACGGAAAATGGGTTATTGGTAAAGCGGGAAGTGTAAGTTGTTTTTTTTTATTTTTTTTTTATTTTCATTTAAATGCTTTTCTTTAAAAACAAGTTTATTCTTATACGGTATATTAGATCATAAAAGGAATTCATTATGTTATTTCTGGTGTTGCCAAAATTGGAGAAAATTATGAAATTTTAGCAATTAAATCGACTTGAGTTTTTTATTTTTAATCATTTTAATAAAAAAAATAAAAATTTTATCCACGTTATTTTTCTTACGCAAGAAATATTCGGTGTTTTATTGTAGTACAACATATTATCATAATACATATTACAATCAGATAATTAAAAACACGTGATCAAATGTTACACATTTCTTATATATTGCGAATCTAACCCTTCCTTTATTTTTATTTGACAAGCCATTGATTATATTAATATTTTATTCTCTCAACTTATTCTCTCACAAAAAATTAATAAACATGTCTCATGAACTTGAATATGAAGAGGCTAGTGCCATCATGCACCTTCATACTCCCTATAATCGTGAACTCCAACAAAATGATGAAAATGAGGTTCGCGACGATCAACACGAAGAAAAAGACTACAAAGTTACTTTGGAAGATGGTGAAGATAGTGAGAAAATATGGAGCGAAGATGATATTCATAAAAATGAAACTTGGTTAAATGTTGCCGAAAATTATGACGGGGATTCTACTAAACATCGGAATGATCGTTTAAACAAGGAAGAAAGACCTAACTTTAAATCAATAAATAATGAAGACGAGACGTGTTTGAAAGGCACCAGTTTTCATCCAACTTCCCCACCAAGATATTTGTCGCCGTCTGAATCATATTCTACTAAGGAACAGACGATTCCAATTTCATTTTCCAATACTTTCTCTCAAGCAACTATTCCATTGGCAATCCCCAATATATCCTTTGGTAGCAGCTCTTGTCAACATGATATTGATATAGCGAGAATTGTTAATCCTATCGTAAAATGTATCTCTGATATGAAATCAGAATTTCAAACACAATTTTTTAAACATCATTATGAAGTGGACCCCAATCCTTCTGCACACATGACAAATGTTGGTGAAGAATGGCAAAATACTGAATTTATGGATCAATATGCAGCCTTTACAGCTGGAAGACTTCTTGATGTTATTTTGACAATGAAACTGCCTGAAGAAGCTAAAAAATGTCTTGTTCAAGCTCGTCATATCATTTGGGAAAAAGTTTTGCATCATCGTAATACTACTACATCTGAAAATATTGCTTTTCCAAGTATTCCTCTGAAAGTTTGTTCCCGCTACTCTTCCAGATAATACCGTACATATTTACTTTGAGAATGTTTCTATGATTTCTGGAGATAATGTCATATCAAGAGAAAATGGGTCAGTTGTTAAAGAGAAGAACAAAAATCAACCTATTACTGTAATTTCTACCAACGTAGAGGAGCAAGCATCAACAACCGTCACAACCAATGATGAAAGTAGCAACGATCAGGAAGACTATATACTATCAACAAACAACAAATGTCGGAAGGATTTATTCGATTAGGTTGTAGTATTCAGTATGTTGCATCACTTATGTGCTTATTTGTTATTAAAAATAATTAATTAAACATGCTTCAATACAATGAAAAAGCTAATAATTGTCAAAATATCAAAAATATGTATTTCATCGTGATTTACGAAAATTTATAACTTTTGGTTATGATCACTCACAAATTGCCAAATCCAATTTTGTATGAATTCATATGACCTCAGTAGCGATAATGTAATATACAATAAAATCATCATATTAAAAAAAAATTATATCTTTTTTTGTCTGTACATGTATTTACGATAATATGTCTTAATTTTAAAGGAGCATCCATATCTACTAAAGAAATATCCAAATTTCTATAAATTAAACATTTCATTTCCATCAGGGCTAATTTCCTCCCTGCCACCTCCTCCTAAAAATCTATCAGGATTAAATTCAAAAGGGTCTTTCCAATGATTAGGATTAAGATGAATTCCTTCGAGGTATACAACAATTGCGGGCCATTCATAGCATGAGATTGTATCAGACGAAGGAGAAACGCGTTGAGTGTATTATGAGACGTGTACATTCCTAAAATATAGCTTCCGTGTAATGCATCTTTGGTTTGAATCAACGTTTGCCTACGATGAAAGATTTCTCAAAGATCGATCGAATCAAGTTCCTTTTGCAACCGAGCCAATACATCAGGATAATGGCATAAATAGTATATGACAAAACATAATAAGTTTGCAGTTGTGTCAACTCCGCCAGCAATAGCTTCAAGTAAAATTTAACTGATTTCATCATTATTTAAGGGTTTATATTCTTCATCCATATATTGATATCACGTTCGGTGTTTGCGGTGATTAAAGAAGTTAACATATCATGTCTCAATTCGTTTTCAACCGATGTATTTTCAATTACATTTCTTCGATGATTAATAATTTTCACCAAGGTTTCCATGTAATTACGTCTATTACTAAGCATGGCTTGATTCTTTTTTTTTATGACGGTATGTCTAAGAAAAGCGAGATACAAAAGAGCAAATTTTATAACATCAAATCCACTCTCAATAAATTTCACGAAATTTGTAATGTCTTCAACTACAAGATTTTGAACTCTTTGATGGTTCAACATTATTAAAATAAGTGACCATTGCATTAACTTTTAGCCAAACAGTCATTTGAAAAATAATTTCTGTTGTAAACCTATGAAACCATGCGGCGAAATCGATCGGAGCATTCTCCCCAATTTCTTTCCAATACTCATTTAATTCTATTAAACCTCCAAGTAGGAATATCATTATTCAATAAATACCTTTTCCTTTATTCCTAATTCTTCAAATGAAGAGTAATCTTCCGATTTCATGATATAATTACTGTTGGTGATGGTGACATTATCTTTTCAACATATTCTGCTTTGGCAAATATCACTTTACGTCCATTTCCAAAATGTGTTTCAAATATATCACCATATTTTTTTATTTAGCATTTGGAACCATACTACTTCATCTCCATTTGCTTGAAATACGATTCTTAACACATCTCCGAACAGAGGAAGACCTGGTAGTGGATTTGGTCTTGTAAAATATTTGTAATAAAAAGTGTGCTACGTATATCAGAATAATCTAACGTTCCTAATGATAAGATTGACATTGTTCAACGTAAATCAAATTTTTTTTTTTAAAAAAAAAAGAAAAAAAATTATGGTTATTTTATTATGAAAATCGAATTTTTTTAAATATCCGGATAATTTGATGTCGTTTTATACACATCAGATTAAAATATTAGTTCATCCGAGTTCTTTATTGAGGATAAATCTAACCGAATTGGAAGTGAAAAAACCACAGACACACCAATATGGATTTGTAATTTTTTTTATCATTTGTGTTCATCCGAGGTTTGTAACACAAGATAAGTACACGTTTTTAATATTACAAATAACCTTACACAGTGTAGATTAAGAATCAAGTGGATGGATTTAGTTATTTGGAAATTCAAAATTCGGTAGAATTTAACTAATTATGACATAATTAATCAACCCAAAAACGAAAATAAAACAAGAGGATATATCTTGATTACAATATCAATCATAGGATTTCTAAAAACAAAAATTTAGTTATTTTCCTCGTATTTGAAAATTAAAGTTTACTGCGGTAGTCTCGAGAGGACGCTAAGCCTCATTGAAATTAAATTGTGACGCGAATATCATGAGTATCACATGATAAACATATAAATTCTTAATCGGCAAATTTTTATAGTTTAAAATTTCTTTTCCTGTTCTTTGTTGTCTCTTATGAACCTAACAATATTTATCAACGTATTATAAATTTTTCCACTCATACTTGACCTCTAGCAAAAAAAATAATAAAAATGTCCCTTCAACTTGAAGAACCTAGTGTTATTTTGCAACAGCTTGAGCAGCTTCACATTGCAAATAATGATAGTTTTGTACATGATGTTGAAAATGACGTGCGAGGATGTGAAGTAGAAATAGAAATTACTCATGAGAAAGATCATAACCTTGCTTTAGAGGATGGTAATAGTAATACATTCAGTGAAAAAAGATGGGACGATTGTTATTCCGAAGATGGAATACAATCAACAATTACTAACAACAACGACAAGGACGTTTCTTCTGTTGACGGATCTGATATTAGTCTTCCTAAACATCGGAAATATTATAAATGTGATGATGAAAGGACTGATTCCGATTCTTTTAGTAATGAAGATGAACCTATTTCGGAAGACACCAGCTTTCACCTTACTTCTCCACAAAGAATTACGTCGTCATCAAATGCATATCCTTCTTATGAACAAATAACACCAATTAAATTTTCTAATGCTCGTCTTCAAGTCAATGAAATGAATGTTCCCTTAGATGTCTCCCCAATGTCCCTTGGGAACGTTTCTTCTCAAGATGATATAGATGTAGCGAGAATTGTTAATCCTATTGTAAGAAGTATCGCCGATTTGAAATCAGAATTCCACGCACAATTGGCCAAACTTCATTATTATATGGAACCTAATATCAATGCAATGAATGTTAACGATGACCAACAACATACCGAATTTGAAAATTCGCAGGATCAATGTCGATACGATGCAGTTGTTACGGCCGGAAAGCTTCTAGACGTTATTATCCCGCTGCAACTTCCTGAGGAAGCTAAAAAATGTCTTATTCAAGCTCGTAACATAATTTGGGAAAAATCTTTGCTTTATCGTGTCTCCTCGCCCTCTACTCAGGCTGCTTATGATGCTGATCCTGCTATTATTGACTCTCTCTCGGAAGGCGTAAAAACCGTTCCAGAACTTACTTTTTCGGGCACCACCATGAATAATTCATCTGAAATTAACGGATTATCTGTTCATGGGGTGAACAATAGAGAATGTTATAATCAGTTTCCTACTAATGCTGATGAGCAATTTTCAACATCTGTTGATGACGTATCAAATAATGAAAGTGATGCTACTAATTCTCTAGGTAAAAAACAAAGTTATCGTCCGACTCGTGACGTTTCTGCGTACCCTTCTCCAAACAGTGGACGTCGTAATCAAAGTTATGTAAGACCCTCGACAATAGAAGCTTCCACGTCAATTAAAAAATCATCACCTCGAGCGCATCATGCACGTTCTGCACGTACTGTTGCCTCTGTTTCTGGTTCGGCTTCAAATATTCAGGCAAATAATAGACGTTTTGTTGGGTTTCTTCCTTCTAGATGTTTTACTTGTGGTGGTATTGGTCATTTCGCCAACAACTGTGCTAGTAAAGGATCCTACATAACTACAAGTACTATTAAAGGTCAACAACCATATCGTCGCCGCCGTTCTAATGGTACAAACCACAGAAGACCCACAAAATCGATGGTTACTGATGCCGCTTCTAATGAATGAGCAAAGAATTGGTTGAAGTTACTCTTGTAGGGTATTACGATTTTTTGTTGAAATTGGTCGACATTATATTAAATGATTAGCTATTTAAATGGTATTTATTATTATAGTTGAGGCAGATAGAATTAGAATACAAACTTCCATACATGGAGTAATGGGAGTAATGTTGCATTTATTTTTTTCAGTATATTGAATCATTTATTTTTTTCGTGTCTATTGATTATTTAGTGGTTTTACGGTGAAATTCAAGGAAATAATTCGTAGATTAAAGGAAATTATGCTTGATTTGTAGTAAGGGAAGAGAAAAGAATGATTATTAATATTATTAATATTATTAAAAAAGGAAAAAGCATTGTTATTAAGGGTATTATTAGTTAGTTACGTCAACAAGGTGCTTTTTTTTTTTTAAAAAAAAAGAATTTTATAGCGTCTTTGAGATAATGATAAAATTATAATAGAATTAGTGGAATTGGGGAAATAAGGTCGTTATAATGCGTTAATTTGAACCCAACTTGACGCGTTAAGTTTTGATCCTGTTGATGACTTCCTTTTTCGGAATTAAGTTTCTTCGGGCAATTCTTTTTTTTTTTTTTAAAAAAAAAAATTCAATTCAATAAATTACAGAAATTTTATTTATATAATTTTTTTTAAGCTTTTTTTAATGATTATAATTTTAAGGGTTTTATATATTAACGCGATTAACATTTCTTCAGAATTCCATCATGGGCTGATCTTATTTATTCCACCCTCTATATATTGTTATTTTTTTTTAATTGTATTAAATCTATTAAACGAGGATCTTTCCAAGTAAAAGATGGGTCCTTCAAAAAATGCGTTGTTCTGACGATGAATAAATATTCTTGTGTCAATTCCAGCAATAAATTCGTCTGGCATTTGGCCGATTTCTTCATTTGTTAAAGAATTAGAGCTAAATCTTTGAGATGTTTTAATATTTACAGTGACCAATCATATCTTTCATCAACATTTTCTTTTCTTTTGATGATCAATATACAGTATTTATGATTAATTCTTTTGAGATGTATGCCTAATAAATAAAATATCTATAAGATTTTTCTAATACATCCACGCAATTATACATTATTTTCAACTTTGCTTTGATTATTAATCATTATTAAAATTAAAAAAAAAAGGTAAATTTATGAACGATACATAGTTCTAAATTTTTCAAGTAGGAATATTGATATTCACTTTCTACTTTTCCTAACGTGTAATTATCATATATTTACTGTTAATTGGCATCTCCAGATTTCAAATTTAATGCATATAATTCTGCTTCATCTCCATTTGCTTGTAATACAACTTTCAAGCAAGGAAGTGAAATTGGACCTGGTATTGTAAAATATTTGGTGCTATGAAAAAAATAATTTAAATCTAACGCTCATGACGTAATTTTTGACATGGCTTGTCAGGGACAAATACACAAAAAAAAAAAAATTGCAGATACAATAATAGTTTACCTATTTTAGAAACAATTTAATATTTCCGTATTAAGACTTAAAAACGATTTAGGAAATTCTGTATTTGGAATTTTAATTCGAGTCTAAAAAAATGAAATTTCTCGATAAATTCTTAAATTTATTAAAATCCTTTAAAAATTTTTTTTCAAAAAATAAAATAAATAAATTAAATGATTTAGATTTACTATACGTTAATTTATATTCAAAAAATGAGTATAACGTTTTTTTTTATTTTTTTTAGAAAAAAAAAAGTTTAAAAATAATATTATGATTCTGATTTTTGCTAACAGATATAATGTTTTAATTTCAAAGGAGCTTTCAATGCTATATCTAAATTTTATATAATAAAGTGATTAAAGTGATTAAATAATTAATTTCCGCAAGAGCCAATTTTCTACCTGGACATATTCAGTTACTAAATATCTATAAGGATTAAAGTCATAAGGGTCTGTCTTTCAATGATAAGGATCAAGATGAATTCCTTCAAAATACGCAACAATTATCGTGTTTGCAGGCCATTCATATCCTGAGACTACATATGACGAAGAAGAAATGCGTTGAGTTGAGTTGATTTGTAAGATGTGAACATTCCTTAATTTTAGCTTCTGCATATGGAATCTTTGAGGCCTTCCATTGTAGGTAAGCGATTTTGATCCAAACATAAGATTGAATCAAGTTCTTTCCGTAAACGAGTCAAAAAGTTAGGATAATGCCATTAAGGTTGCGGGTTAAAAACCCTTATTCCATTTTAGCAAAAGTCGGAACTTTTCGAAAATAATTTTGACAGCTGCGACGGGGTTTCGACAATTTCGACAAATTTCTGGCAGTTTCGCTCTCAACAATTTCGACGGAATGGGCTTTTAACAAATTTGACTTGGAGTTTGTTTCGGACCTAGACAGATTTGGACAAATTCTAAACCTTAGTGTTTTGGCATAAATAATATATAAAACATAATAAATTTGCTGTTGCGCCAACGATAGCTTCAAATAAAATTTGTTTGAACGATCCGATCTACATCCGAAACATGCGATGCTCATCATATTTATTCTTTAATACCGGGTGTCTAATAAAAACGGGATAAGTAAAAGCGCACGCCGGAAAATATATAATGCCGGCTGGAATTACAAAGAAATATCTGCATCCTTTACTGTTTTATAGTTGACAATAAAGTGCGGGTTGCTAAAATTTTATTTCCGAAATTCCGAATTAAGATTCGAGATGTTTTGCAAAGCATGACACGTATGCTCGTAACCATTTCTTAAAAATAAAGCATTAGAATAATACTTTAAAATTCAATTTAAAAAAAAGGCTTCCAATTTACAATTTTTTTTTTTTTTTTTTTAGACTTTACAGATTAAAAAATATTCATTATTTAAAATAATCCTTACCGCTGCAGCATTTTTAAAAAAGTGTCACCACTTACATAACCTTTTTTTGATTGTGATCTACGCGTGATTAAAAGTTTATTGAGTGACACGACTAACTACTGTTATTAATTACCGCAAAAAAAAAAAATTTATAATGATTTTTTGCGGATAATTTTTTTTTTTAAATAGATACATTTTTACTAATTCAACGATATTTATTTTTGTTTAACTCTGATTTGTAATTCAGTACATGTGTTTACGATGGTATGCTTTAATTTTAAAGGAGCATTCATATCTACTAATGAAATATCTAAATTTCTATAAATTAAAGCAATCAGACATCTTAATTCCACAAGAGCCAATTTTCTCCCTGGACATATCCTTACACCACCTCCAAACATCAAAAACGTATTCTTTTGTGGTTCAGTACCTATAAATCTATCAGGATTAAATTCATAAGGATCTTTCCAATGATCAGGATTAAGATGGATTCCTTCAATATATGCAATAAATGTCGTGTTTGCAGGCCATTCATATCCTGAAATTGTATCAGACGAAGAAGAAACGCGTTGAGTTGCTTTGGCCGTATTTACGAGTCGTGAACATTCCTTAATTATAGCTTCCGTGTAATGCATCTTTGAGAGATCTTCCATTGTAGGCATTCGTTGATCCAAACCAAAGATCGAATCAAGTTCCTTTTGCAACCGAGCCAAAACATCAGGATAATGGCATAAATAGTATATGACAAAACATAATAAGTTTGCAGTTGTGTCAATTCCGCCAGTAATAGATTCAAGTAAAATTTGATGGATTTCATCATTATTTAAAGGTTTAGAATGATCATCATCCATATATTTGGAGACATTGACATCACGTTCGGTATTTGCGGTGATCAAAGAAGTTAACATATCATGTCTTAATTTTTCTTCAACTGATGTATTTTCAATTTCATTTCTTCGATGATCAATAACCTTCTTCATAGTTTCAATAACTTTACGCCGATGACTAAGCATGTCTTGATTCTTCTTTTTCAAGATGGTATGTCTAATAATAGCAGGAAATATAAGAGCAAATACTAAATGATCAAGTCCTTTCTCAACATCGTCAACGAAATTTGCAATGTCTTCGATTACAGGATTTTGCTCGATGTGTTTCCTTTTTGACGGTTCAACTTGATTAAAATAAGTGATCATTGAATTAACTTTTAGCCCAACAGTCATTTGAAAAATAATTTCTGTTGTAAATCTATGAATCCATGCGGCGAAATCGATCGGAGCATTTTCCCCAATTTCTTTCCAATACTCATTTAATTCATTAAACAACATTGGGGTCCAATGTAAAACTTCATTTGAGAAGCTTGGAGCCAATATTGCCTGTGTTAAGAATTTTCTATTGAACCTCCAAGTAGGAATATCATTATTCAATAAAATCCCTTTTCCTTTTATTCCTAATTCTTCAAATGAAGGGTTATCATCTGATTTCATTATATAATTACTGTTGGTAGAAGCTGACATCAATTTTTCGACATATTCCGCTTTGGCAAATATAATTTTACGTTCATTCCCAACATATGTTTCGAAAATACCACCATATTTCTTATTTAATATTCTAAACCATTCTGCTCTATCTCCATTAGCTTGTAATAAGATTCTTAACAAGTCTCCGAGCAAAGGTAAGGGTATTGGGCCTGGTAGTGGATTTGGTCTTGTAAAATATTTGTAATAAAATTGTGCGATGTAGATTAAAAGGAATGATATAATTATTTTTGCAAAAACTAACGCTTCAATCGTTAATAATGCCATTGTTGACGAAAGATATTTTAGTCGAATTAGAAAATTATATCCAAAAAAATTTTACGCCCAAAATATATGTGAACAGTACAAAGTAAATAGGTCAAGTTCGGTCCTTATTTTATGCGTAAATGGATATGAATAAAAAGAAATAATCAAGTTCCGGACGGAACTTCCGAATTAAGATTTGTATTTTAAAGTAAAGGGAGGACAGAATTGGACTTTCCCTTATATAAACATTTGACGTAATTCTGACACCAATGATTTCTATTCCAACTCTGTCGTACAATTTAATTTCTTATACTATTTAATTTACTGTAAATCAAATTTCTTTTTTTTTTTTTTTTAATAAAAAAAAATAAATTTTATTAATTCATAAATAATTTACGATATTGATCGTTGTTTAACTCTGATCTTTAATTCAGTACAACTATTTATAATATGATGTTTCAAATTCAAAGGAGCATTCATATCTATTAATGTAATATCTAAATTCCTATAAATTAAAGCGATTAAACATTTCAATTCAACAAGAGCCAATTTTCTCCCTGGACATATTCTCACTCCACCTCCAAACATCAAAAACGTATTCTTTTGTGGTTCAGTTTCTATAAATCGATCAGGATTAAAGTTATAAGGGTCTTTCCAATGAACGGGATTTAGATGAATTCCTTCGATATATACAATATATGATGTATTTGCAGGCCATTCAAATCCTGCCACAACATCTGACGATGAAGAAATACGTTGAGCTAGTTTGACTGTATTTACAAGACGTGAACATTCCTTAATTATAGCTTCTGCATATTGCATTTTTGAGAGGTCTTCCATTGTAGGTAAACGATTTTGATCCAAACAAAATATTGAATCAAGTTCATTTCGTAAACGAGTCAAAACGTTAGGATAGTGGCATAAATAATAAATGATAAAACATAATAAATTCGCTGTTGTGTCAATCCCGCCAATGATAGCTTCAAGTAAAATTTGACTGATTTCATCATTATTTAAAGGTTTATATTCTTCATTAATATATTTGGAGTCATTGATATCACGCTCGGTATTTGCGGTGATCAAAGAAGATAACATATCATGTCTCAATTCTTCATTAATTGATATTTCTTCAATTTCTTTTCGTCGATGATCAATAATTTTTATCATGGTTTCAACAACTTTACGCCTATTATCAATCATGGCCTGATTCTTTTTTCTTAATATAGTGTGTCTAATAAAAGCGGGATAAGTAAGAGCAAAATCTAGATCATTTAATCCTTTCTCGGCTTCGTCAGCGAAATTTGCAATGTCTTCAACTACAGGATTTGGGTCGATATGTATCCTCTTTGATGGTTCAACATTGTTAAAATAAGTGGCCATTGCATTAACTTTTAGCCCAACAGTCAATTGAAAAATGATGTCAGTGGTAAATCTATGAATCCATACAGCGAAATCAATCGGCGCATTCTCTCCAATTTCTTTCCAATACCCATTTAATTCATTAAACAAAATTGGGGTCCAATGTAAAACTTCTTTAGAAAAGCTTGGAGCCAAAATAGCCTGTGTTAAGAATTTTCTATTGAACCTCCAAGCAGGAATATTACTATTCAATAAAATCCCTTTTCCTTTTACTCCCAATTCATCTAATGAAGGTAAATCTTCCGATCGAATTACATAATTACTTTTGGTAGAAGCTGCCATCAATTTTTCAACATATTCAGCTCTTGCAAATACAATAAGACGGGTACTACCAAAATATATTTCAAAGATGTCACCATGTTTCTTATTCAATAATTTCAACAATTCCGCCAAATCACCATTTGCTAGTAATATTAATCTTAACACATCACCAACAATAGTAAGAGGGATGAGGCCTGGTAGTGGATTAGGTCTTGTAAAATATTTATGATAAAAGTATGCCAAGTATATTAAAATGATTGAAATAACAATTTTCACAAAATCTAACGTTCCTAGGGATGTTAAAAATGACATTGTAATGAAACGGATAGGTTTGAGAATTAAGTGGAATTTTTTTTAAAAATCAAAAAATCGTATTACGTTCGGAATAACCCTACCCAATTTAATACTAATGTTAATCAATTTAGGAATAAATTTTTTAAAAGGAAGTATTTATGTAATTTGAGTAACAGATTTTAACTAAAATTGGATTTAAAAATTATCATTGATCAATGACTTATCTGTTTATTTGTAGTGGTACATAAATATTCTAAGCTAACAAGGTTCAAAATAAATGCATTAAAAAAAAAAAATATCTATATAAAATTTATATAAAATATGAAATACAAGAAAAAATGGTTATATTTGACGAATTGAAATAAAATTTCTTTTTCTTAAGGAAAAAAAAAATTAAGATCCCAATATCAACGATTCTACTTTACTTTTTATTTTTTTTTATTTATCAAAAGTTAATTCCATTAAAAAAGGAACTTTCAAATGCGTTATTTGAGACTTGTAATACGTTTATTTTTGCGATTCGATCAAGTATATCATTATTAATTCGAGATAAATTTGCTTTCGTTGCTGACTCGATCATATCTTGATCATAATTTTGTGGTCGGGAGTCTTCAACTATTGTATTTCTCTTCATTAATTCATTTTCCGATAATCTTTGAGTTTTTTCTCGATTTGCATTGTTATCATGAGGAATACATACTTTATTATGATCTATATCTCTTATGATATTATTTAGATTCATTATGGAAAAAAAAATATTTAAGATATTTATTTTTTTATTTTTTTAAAAAAGAAGGAGAGGGTTTATATAATTAATTTGGGCATTGATAATTATACAAATTAATTAAAATATCAATCGCTCTAGATATGATCTCTGTTACAATGTGTTATAAAGAACATAACGAAGAAAGGATATATTATAGCCGAGATTTTTCTTAAGATCAGATCATCAATAATTAATTATTTAATGATCTTACATGCATGCATGTGATTCTTTTAGATGATTCATCAACACTAACCCATATTAAATTGTTAAAATATGTCAATGAGAACAATGCGAGATTTTCAATCATGCAACATGGTATATATTTTTTATATTACACCTAAAAAATAATGAATTCATCGTTATTAAAGTAAGACATTTCCAGATATGTTAAAAATTACTTTTTGACGTGGGGAAACCTGTGTTCTTAATTATTCTCATTGAAAAGATAGTAATACTTAATGACTATTAACATTTACTTGTAGGATTTGTGATACGTAACATGATCGAATAACTCAATTTCTCAAAAAGAAATCTCAATATAAATCTGTTATAATGATTTTTAGAGTCCTATTAAACGTAGGATAAAGCCGCCGTAGAATGAAAAATAGATAAAGGGTCAAATGGTCAAACTTAATTTTCGCTTAAATCATAATTCTGAAAGACAATAAAATAAAAAAATTGATGCCAGCATAAACTTGAATGGGTTCCGTTCAAAATCCCACGCTCGAATTCCCGAAGGTACTTTAAAGTACAATATTCCCGAATTCAAAATCTTGAGTTCGTTTCTGGTCGGTTGGATTTTTAGTCGGTTTGAAATAAACAATCCCATTGGTTTAATGCGAGAAATTAAATCTCATTTAATATGCTAACATGTGCAATTGAAATTTGACATGTCCGACCCTTGTTTGTCATCTGAAGTATTGTCATCTTTGTGTAACATTTTAAAATTTGCACAAAATTATTTTTGAAGTCATTTATAGTTCTTATAAAACGTTCATATCGTTGCGCGCAGTTCTTTATGTATAAACGATGAGATAGCAGCAGATTTATGACTAATCTAATACAAAGCAAATAAAGTCTGCCTCAACGTAAACGTTATATATGGATTTACTTATCAACTGCCTTTGCTTTGAGGCGTAAACCAAATGGGAGCTGATCTATTAAAAGTGGGTTACGAGACATAGTAAATCATATGATCCGTACCTCAATTTTAATAGAATACTACCCAAATGATCTGTGATGTCTAATTAAATCACCAATTAAATAAAATAAATAATTATTTTTATTGTCGTGATATTATTTTTTTAGTTAATAGGACAGTATAATCTTAATCGTTCGGATTTTTAATCGAGTTTTGAGTCGGTGATTATTGGCCAGATCATCTATTAAATTTTAACGAACATGTAATCATACGAAAGAACTTCGACTAAACTTATTAACCCTTCTGATTTTTGTATTACGCGTTCAACTCTTATTTTTGTATGTTGTTTTAAAAATTCGAACAATCAAAATTGAACTTGCCTAATGTGGTTGATTGAATTGGGTCGACTTTGCTTTTCGGTTGTCACTTGATTGGTTCATTATTCTTCTTGATTTAAGGTCTAATAATAGTTCGCTGAAGAGGGTAACTTGTTTATTTAAAGGAGGATAGCATTAAATAACTTATCGAGTTACAACTTCTTAATTATAGTACTTATTTATAACATATATCTAACTGCTCAAAATCATGTGATTACATGTGTGATAGATGAACATATCAAAGTGTATCTAAAATGCTAAGTCCTTCACTATACTTTAGACAAAAAAATATATAATCATAACGGTAAGAATAAATTAATAAATTAAAAAAAAAATACTACAAATAAATTTATTAAAAATACATAAAATAAATTTTTAAAAAAATAAATATCACTTTTAAAAATTTAAATAACAATTAATATGTAAATTACACTCTTAACAATTTGAATATTAAATACATTAATAATTTAAATTTTAATAATTCAATTTTAAATAATATTGAACTTTATTAATATCAAAATTTAAATATTTAAAATTATTATAAATACTATAAAGTATTAATTACTATTATAAAAATAATCTGACAAATACCAAATACATATAATGCTTTTTCTTTAGCATAATATAAAACTTAAAATTATATTAAATATTATATTATCTTTAGGAAATATTTATTTGGGGCACCATGACCATGTATAATTGAATAAACCAACCTTAACTTACCTAACCCTAATACCACGCCGCAAGGTGGGGGTGGCATCTGTGACAAATAACGAGTAACAAATAGGATTTCACACCTAAAAAAAACTGTTTCCAGATTAAATAGTAAAAATGAAATATAGAGGGTTTGACAGATTATTATAAATTTTCCCTATCATTAACCTATAAATATTTGCAGCTAAATAAGTATAGAGTATATTACATTTAGTTATCCTATATAGTATTCTTTAAGCTTACTAATTATATTTCAATAAAAGCAGATTATGAAATTATTATCATTTATAATATACAATTAAATTTATTATTAATTTATAAACATTAATTATCATAATTAAAAATTTAAGCTTTAAATATGTTTAAAGCCCACTGTAATGCTCAAAGTCTACTCGTCAAATAAGATTAAAATGATAAACTTTTCTTAATAAAATGACATCCGAACGGAATAATTTCTTTGGTCTGCCAATTTATGCAAATTTCCGTGGACACAATTATATTAGAAATAAAATAACTTTTTTACAATTTACAGAAAAAAAACTTATAAAATAAGAAATGGAAAAAAACCGTTCATTCGATCGGCAATGCAATGATCTAAATATAAATTAATGAACAATAAAACGTGATTTTTTTTTTCCATACATCTAATGAAAAATTGAGTGTTACACAGTATTATAAATGTTACACAGCATTTTAATAATCATTTATCAAAATAAAAAACAAGAAATAAAAATGTTTTATATAGACTGAACTTTGATCTCAGTTGAATTTACTTGTTCGAACAAAAAATAAAGCCCATATTCAATCAATTAATTCGTGTCTATTCTGTGCGAAGTGTATCATTTTACATTGAATCTTTTTTGCTCTCGACGCATTGGAGTTTCTATTATAATCAAAAAAATGTAAGATTTTTTGATCTAATTAAATAATTGGTCTTATTGATCGCGTTTCCTCCAATGCACTGTACTTCGACTGCATTTAATGAGATACGAAACAGGGAACAAATTCCATGCTAGTTAATATAGTGAATATAGAACGACTTATAGCAGGTCTTGTCATGTGATCAAGTAATTGACCTTTTTTACATTTCACAGATTAAAACTCGCCTTCTCAACAAATGAATGCTAATTCGGATTTTGGAAAATGCTCAGATTGTGGAAACGAACGAAGTAACGTAAGATGGTGTAAAGGTTGTGAATATATTGCTTTTAAAGAAAATTTTAGAAACTGGACAAGTGGTAATCTTAATGTTGATAAATTTATTAAATATACTCAATTAAATTCAACTGAGAGTGTAGATTATTTGGAACATATTGATTTCAATCAGTTAGAACTTGTGGAAAAAATAAACAATGATGGAGACTTTAGCACAATTTATTCAGCAATTTGGATGGAAGGCCCCCGATGGAAATGGGATGAAGACGTAGAGCAATGGACACGGAAAGGTCCTATGAAAGTTGCTCTAAAGAGACTTCATAATTTACAAAATATAGATGAAGATTATTTGAAACAAGTAAGTTATTTGTTATATTTAGTTGATATTACTTTTTTTAAAACGTCAAGGAATTTAAGATTAATAATTATTTATTCAATAAATTTAATGAAGCTTTATAAATATCAATATAGTTTACATGAGGGTTATGGTTTTTTTGGAATTACTTTAGATCCTACTTCAAATATCATGCTAGTTATGAAATACTATAAGCACTATGAAAATGGAGACTTATATTCATTTCTTGATAAAACTCAAGGAAAACTTTGTTGGAATGACATTGTTATCATGCTTTGGCAAATATTTGGAGGAATAATGAATTATCATGAAAAGGGATTGATTCATGGAAATATTCATGGAGGCAATATATTGGTTGAAGTTAAACAAGATTTGTTTGAAAATATTGATATACCAGAAATTGGGTCATATTCAATTGATAGGAAAAATTCAAACGAAATATATGGAGATCTTCCTTATATTGCTCCCGAGGTCTTGCAAGGAAAACCGCTAACGGAGGCCGCAGATATTTATAGTTTTGGAATGATCATGTGGACAATTTCCGCAGGGGTTCTCCCATGGTGTAATAGAACACATGATTCTCAATTGTTTAATGAAATTACTTCTGGTGAAATTAGAACTCCAAAAGTTTATACTCACTTAATGACACGATGTTGGGATGATGACCCCTCAAGTCGTCCAAATACATCTGAATTATATGGTGAGTTGGAAACTTGGGTTAGCGCAATTGATGACGCTGATCCATCGGAATTATTAGAAGAGCTTTCAAACTTAGAAAGAAGTAAATTTGATCGACAGACGATCCATTCTGAAGCGTTTTATACAAGCAGATTCCTAAAATTTAGATGAATATGCTAAAATTATGCATATATAACATTTTATAAATACAGAATTATAAATAAGCTTTATATATTATTAGAAATTTAAAATAATATTTAAAAAATATATATATAATATAAAATATTTGCGTATATTCTTTATATGTATGGGTATATAGTATTAATAATATACTTTAATATAAATTCTTATAATTTCTTTTAAAATTACTCTTTGATATTCCGGAAGTTCCCTCGTATTATGTAAAATTAATTCATGTATGGTAGGAAATAAGATTAAATTTTGTTAAAGTTTATGCATGTGCATGTAAGTAATATGGTTTACAATTCATTTTTGGTTCATTCATATACTATATATAAAAATTCTACATAAGTTTTCCTTATTTAAAACTTCGCTCGCGAAAAAAAAAATGCGAACGCATTAATAAATGGAAATAAACTAAAAATCTTCCCCAGTTTATAAAGCTAGGGCACTTGGTTATATAAATAATCATCACCCCGAGTCACACCCTCTATGTTTCATTTTTTACTGTTATTTGTGAACTTAGTTTTTTTTTAGGTTGTGAAATTATATTTGTCACTCCCATTGATTAATTAAAACTATTCGCTACAAGTCACATGCCCAAGCTTTTTTGTCGGGAAACAAAGCCCTCACGTGATTAAATTTAATAATATCCGTCATTCATACAGATCGATTTTTTATACAATAGACTCGTTCTTTCAATCACTTTGTGAACTTTCACTTATAATTCTTTTTTTTTTTAAAAAAAAAAAGAAAAAAGAAATTGAGAAACTTATTCTTTCTTCTTTCAGGACTCCTGTGCCTCTTTTGAATTTTAAAACAATTCGGAACCTTCAAATCTTGGATTGATCAGATTTATTCTATTGGAATAAATTTTTTTTTATTTTTAAAAAAAAATATGATTAAAATAAAATTGTTTACCTCTTTTTATTATAGACTGTTATTTTCAAATCTTGGATTAATCCTATGGAAGGAAAGAACATACATGTAAATATTTTTTTTATATAAAAAAAAAATTGCTTAATATATCAGAATCTTCAAAATTTAATCTATTAAGGAAGAAATGTTAAATTTTCTTTTTAAAATATGTAATTAAAATAAAAGAATGTTTTCAAAAGTCGATCAATCGGCAAATTCCGAAATCACAAACAACTTTACATATGTCTATATGTCCATTCCATTGTTCGCCAATTAGTTTTTGAAAGATGTAATTTGTAAATAAAAGTGGTTAGATCCGGATTTAAGGATTTTCCGGATACCGATTAATCTGAAATTTGTCTTTTTATTTATAAATATAATGAAGAACCTGCGCCAAAATGATTAAATTTACAATTATAAATCAATCTCAAATATAAATAATAAAAAAAATTTCCATTTAGAACTTTCTACTCAAGTGAACATGTTTGTGGATATCCTTAATATTCAGATATCCTTTAACTTATCCACGGATATCAAAACTTATCTGAAGCCAAAAAAAATAGCCATTCGAATATTTGATATCTGTACAGATATCCGGATAGACAGTCCTACTAATTTAGTTGGCTTATTTAACTTTAGCTCATGCTTCAGCTAAAACATTCTCATCCCTTGATGCTACCACTTCAAAATAAAGTCATACTTGTTTTATTACTACTATTAGTTGTTTGGCATCGGGATTTAGTAATTAAACTATCGGTTAGTAATCTTTTACAATATGCTTTTCTCTCTTCTTTGTCTTTTGCACCGCGAATTCTTGGTGAATAAATCGTAAAATATAAACAAAACTTTTCCGTTTACAAGTTATATTAATAAATTGTACATTTGTAACACATTTAAGCCACCACACTTTTTGAATTTTCTTGAATTCTTAAAAAATTTTGATGAAAATATTATGCAATTACGAAACCTGTGATACCGATACGAATAGGATTTAATATGTTTCTTTTAACAAGCGAAATTGAATATCAAGTAATCTGATTGGTCCTTCAGAAAGAATATATGGTGCATTAGGAATATAACAGGAAAAAAAGGCATATGATCACATAATAATTCCTCCTTCGTGGGAATGATTGAAAGTTCCTCAAAATATTTTCATGCCTTTTCCCATATTCTGACGAGGGTCATAAGTTCTTTTTATTTCGCTAATTCTTTGTATTCTGAAGTTGAATATTTTTAGCCATCAATTAATCTAGCATTTAATAATTATTCATAATTTTCATTCCTTTCTCTAAAAATATTATTTCTTGTTTTCAAAATAATTAATGGGTCAGCGTAGATTATTGATCGTTATTGTTAAATAGATTGTTTATAAGTATTATTAAATTTTGTAAATCGAGAGTTATTGTTCATTGATGGATGCTTCCCTGATACCAGTAATATTCTGTAAGAAGTCATACGATAATCAGGAAAATTACTCCTAAGCTAGTAATAAAGATAATTATTAGTCAACTCGTTTTCAATTCGTCAAGGAAACAAAATGCGCCAAACGACTGCGCCAAATCACGTGAAAAATAGCTCGTTAGCCAAAAAGTTGGTTTATTTATGATACGTTCACAATTACAAGCCTACATTACTTCACACCAAATTCATTAGATTACTTTCAGGGATTTTCCCATTCATCCTTCATAAATCGATCTAATTCATTTAAGTTTTTTTGGCCACCGTTTTTCAACATTCCATTAACGATATTCCATAGAATTATAATCGGGACTATTAGAAGTCCAATCAATAATTATCGGGGCGATTTTTTTTTAGAAATGCGTTTGCTACTTTATTTTTATGCTTAGGAACATTGTCATGTTGGTACTGCCAACGACTTCAAGCTTTTTTTTAATTTCAGGAAAGTGTATTTTTATAATTTCAAAATAAACCAAAGCATACATTATCCTTTGGAAACAAAAAAGAATTTTCTTCCCTCTTAACCAAAACCCACCCCAAGCAAAAATATATTTTTTTATCCTTTGGAATTCGTCGTACTGGCCGTTCACCTTTATACAAATATTTTACCGTATTCCTGAGCAACTGACTGTTTGGTTCAATTATTATAGAGATATTTTTGACACCCAATCTATACGTTTTGAATGTGTTTTTAGTAAGCATGGGTGTCACTTCCGCTCGATTTTTTTATAGCCAAGTTGGCTTAAATGAATCCAAACGATTATATGAGAGACCTGTACTTTTTTTTAATAATTTGGTGGCTAGTTCTTTTGATATTGAGTTTTACTTTTCAATTTTTATAGCTTTCGGAAGAAATTGTTGGGGATGACCATTGTGCTTTCGGTGAGTTACATTTCTATTATTTTTTGTTTAGAAATGTTATAGTATATAGTAGACAGGGAAACCGTCGTTTCTAATTTCCTTTGTATTATATATTCCCTTATACCATAATTGTTGGATAGCTTTTTGCATGTACGCTCTGTTACTTATAGTCTAATTATGACGCATTAGTGCTGCGCCAATTACAATTAGCGAATGATGATCCTGACCTTAATTTTCTCTAATTTCTCTAATTTCTATCATTTCTCTAATTTCTTTCATTTCTATAATATCTTAGCGATCTCTAATTTCTCACATTTCTTTAATATATTTAATTTCTTATATTTATTACATTTCTTATATTTCTCTAATATCTATTTACTATTGATGTATTTTATATAAATATCTTGTATTTCATCTTAAACAAAAGGTAGAGTCACTACATTTTTCTAATAAATCAATAACATTTATCTTTAAAAATATATCTTTGCTCGTAAAATAATTCATTCTTCTTTAAATCTATATTGATAAAGATGACCTGACTCTTCAATTTAATTATTCGTATTTATTTCTTTTATAGTTTAAATGTACTTAAACTACCTACTAGCAAATAATCTTTATTAACTTAACAATGAATAGTTTAACTTAATAAGATAAATAAATCTAAAAAAATCAATTAAAATATTTTAATAATTATATGATTTAATTCAAAATCTTATTCTAAAAGAAATCTAATACCTCTCTTTTATATATAACTATTTTTTCTCTTCTTATACTATTGTGTTAATTGTAAAAATTCTTTAATTATATTATTTATTTTGTTACTTACACTATAATTTCTAACTAAATTTATTATTTTTGCTTACATTAGCGAGCAATATATATTGTTAACCTTAAGCTTAACTATTAAACTTAGGGTAACAATAATTTGATAATAGAAAATAAAATATATAATTAATTAAGATTATATCAATCAATAAATATATAAAATACAAATAATTGCTTTATTATTAATTTTATATTCTTAAAATCCTTTAATTTTAGATTTTAAATCTTTAAACTTTTACTATAAGTTCTTAAACTTGCATCTAAATTCTTCTTTCTTATAAGCTATACTTTGTCTTATTTATACAAAAATACAATTATAAGAAAATCTATATTAAAAGTTGTAACAGTGTAAATTTTGGCTAAAATCTGATTACAAATCCAATATCAATTAAATGTCCTTATTTATCATCTCATTGATCTTGATGTCAACTTTATGTCCTGAGATAATCAATGTGAAATATTGTAGATCTAGATGTCAATTTTATTTCTAGTGTAATGGGTAACTTTATTGACATGATCATCTTTGCTAATCAATTTTGTCAACTTTATTTCCTTGATGATGTCATTTATTTTTCATAGATTTATTTAGTTTAGTTCAATTTATAATTATCAAACATGTATAAATACCTTTGTATTATTATTGAGAAAGGATACCAATAAATAAATCCATCAATTAATATATACCTTAAGAAGGAATAAGAATAATATTTCACTAGATGAAATTATTACCTTATGACCAAGGTTGCTGGACGAAATCAAGAGTTTAGACAGACGTCTAAATGGTAAAAGTAAAACTTGGTTAAATTATATTAAAA